AAGCATTAACCACACTGTTTGCCTCACTTTGGGAAAACCACACAAGYTGAAACAACGCAGTTTCTACAGAACATCTCACCGGAAAGAAGAAAAGAGCATTTGTGATTTTTGTCTTACATCTGTTCAGTCTGTGATCACTTTCCAATGAAACATGTAATATTGTCAATGATGGGCTTTATGGTCGCACAAACGAGTTATTTTCAGCTCGGTAACTGACAAAACAAGACCAAAGACAAGCTAACTAAAAGACAAAAAGAAGCATAACTAACAAAGCAACAATACTGTCTGTACTTGTCATTATCTGCCTTCAGCCAGATGTGAAGATGAGAGGCGAGTAGCTCTCTGCACTGCAAACTTACTGTACATTACAAAATGTTGAAAAGCTGCAGGTGGCTTGGAATTTGTTTTAAGTTAAACGACCGGTCTTTTTTTTTTCCTTCTTAGAGAAAAAAAAAAAAATCACAAAGGATGCAACAAAGATGCTAATTGAAGATGCAAACGGAGGTCAGCTCGTCTCCGTAGAAACATCGTGCTTGAAAAAAAAAACTTTCTGCTTGAATGCACCAGTGACAATTAATAATAACAAAGTAGGCTTTCATAAATTCTGTATCCTTGTCCTGGTGAGTCATCAGAAATCATCAGAGTTAATAAAACGCCCAATATTTATTTAGGCGTGTCAAACCTTCTCCTCCATGAATGGATTTAACTGGAACAAGCTGGTATGAGAAGATCTTCTGTTTGAGAGGCGACACAAAACATTTCAGGTACGTGTCCTTATTGTGACATCATGATAAGAGACTTCATATAAACTTGACTCATTTAGACAACAATGTGAGTGAGAGTTTTATGGCAATAAAGAGGACCTGTATTTCTGACACATATTTATAAAACAGTAKGTCCATGCATATTAACACACAATAAAGATGTTTGGTGTTTGAGCTGAAAACACAAGTTCATCCAAGTTTTAAGCATAGATGTGTACGGTAATTTAACTGTGGCATCAGTCCTAGATTATTTTYATTTTAACTTCAAATGGTTCAGATTTATTTGCAAAAGGATATAAGGAGATAAAACTTTCACATACTAAGAAATGAGTCCTAGAGTCAGAAACAATGTTCTTCCAGAGTTTAAACTAACTTGGACATGAAAGCAAAAACATTTTAGTGAGGCCTCATCGTTCAGGACAAGGCCTGGGAGTGCCATTTTAGATCGTATTCACTGAGACAGGAGGATCATTGACATACTCCATGTGAGGGAGTAACGTCGGTTGGTTTTAGCTCACAATTCCATAAATACAAATAGTCGTAGAATCCAACTACTGCGAGCTGATTTCTGTCAAAATAAAACAGCAAACCAAGTTGGCAATAAAACCAGTGTCTAACAGCAAGTTAAACAGCATGRAGCTCATTTGCACAAAGGGGAAATCAAAAACCTGTATTTGAATAGGGAAGGGCAGTGAATAAGCTCTGTGGGTCAAATAAAACCAAATATAAAGAAATGAAGGTTGAGACAAGTCTTAGTGTTGCCCTCTGTTGGTCACATTTAGTACTGCGAGGGAAGTCACTTGACCTGCAAATGTGGAACAACACATTTTGTTCCATTTTCAGAACAGGACACTTTTAGCTGTGGCTAAAAATAAAATATTAACTATAAAGTAAATRTACAAAGTCCTTTCACTGAAAGTAGAAGAATATTGTTGATTATAGATTAAAAGTGAGGTAACATCTAAACTAAGCTCAGTAATGTCAATTTATTCTGTAAATTATATGCAACCTTTTGATAATATTCAATATTTGGTCTTACTTAATTTATTAAAGATGAAAGCTCTAAAGATGAATCCACTTCATTTTGTAAAAGTATTTGGAAAAATARGTTTATTTCAGCTGAACTTGTTAATGTATCTGATCTTTAAAAAGCCACTAAATGCAAGTTTTATTTTCAACATATTCCTGTCATAAAATTTTATTTCCWTTAGGATGAAAATACCAGATTAATCTTTGATCAAACTAAACATTTAATGTCTAAAAATAAAACAAAGCTTTCCTTTTGTGACAATTGTGAACGTGTTGTTGCTGCTAAAACAAATTTTCCCAACTTTGGAAATTTGCAAAAACCTTTTATTATTTAYATTTGTTTCAGTTATTTGTTCTCTTATAATTTCAACAAGGAAAAAGTGAAACATGTGTCCAGGTTGTATGCAAAATGTGACAAAGCAACAGGAATAATAATAGTAATTATTATTGTTAGTAGTAATAGTACTGAATTTGGAATTTATTTTATTCAATTCAGAAAAACATTTAGAATAAAAAAATGACAATTTTCTAAGTATTTATTTTTCTGGTATGCTATTCATCTGGTAGCCTATGTGTTATATCTGTTACATTCAATATTTCATTTATTTATATTTGTCAGAAACTCAGCTTTATTTGTAGATCTTTTCAAACACAATTGTGGCTCAAAGAGCACAATGGCACAATTAGTAAAGGGGTATGGCAATAAAACTATAAAAACTAAATCACTTGAAATTAGAAAAATTTCATTTTCTACAAAAATATATGTTGAATGCTGTAGTCACATAAGATTTGCTGAAAAAGCTTACAAAGTTATTAAAGTCAAAAGAAGTACCACACAAAACATTAGCTACAACTAGCAAARCACAAGCWACRTAAAASCTAAAAGTAACAAAATGTTAGTTAAATGCTAAAGGTWGCAAAAGGCTAAAGCTACAACTTTAAGTAGCATTTAAAAAAATCGCTAAGCCAGTGTTGAAGCACAATGAAAAACAATGTTTTTGAAAAAGATTAAGCAATTTGTATTTTTATAGATTTTGTTTCAAAAGAAATAAAGGTAAA